TCTTTCGTTTCTAAAACACTTGATACAAACTTGAAAATAAAAGAGGAACCGTTGGAGTCTAACATTCCAATGAAACTTTTGAACAATTAACTCTAAGGCACATGTCTCGTTCTTGTTGAATGTTCATTATTCATTAAACATATTTCATAAATACTTTGAATAAAAAAGGATAGTTGGAGTATAGCATTCTAGTAATCCCCGAATAATTGGTTCCGAGGCTCACGTCTGGTTCTCACTGAGAATTCGCCATTCCTTAGAAAATACCTAACACATAAAACTTATTTTCTCTTTCCCGTGCGATTGAAAATCTTTCACAAGTTAGCATCGTTTAATTCTTTCTAATGTGTATACAAACTAGTGCTTAAGTCTCCATCGTGAGCATGCAAGCTAATATTTGACCATTAGAATGCAATCTAAACACATGTTAGCTATAAAAAACTTCAATCAATCAAACTTCTTCAAAAGAACATTGCTCAATCCTTTCTAATGCGTATACAAACTAGCGTTTAGGTCTCCACCACGAGTACGCAAGCCAACGATTAATCGTTAGAATGCGATCTAAACACTTATTCAGTAAAACACATTAACCAACAAAGCATATCCTTCCCCCGAACTACGAAGCTTTGAGTTCCTCATTATACCCGAGGATACGTAAGAGCGAGAATAGCAATCTCGCCAAACTCCCTAATAAAAACATTTTTGCGACCCCTTCTTTTCTCTTTTCAATCTTTTCATTCGAAGAAAATAATTAACATAAGCTAACATTCAATCGCAAGTTTAACTAAAAGGTTCCCATTGAGTACAATGAACGTGAGAGATGTTAATACCTTCCCCATGCGTAATCGACTCTCGAACCCAAATTCGGTTGCAACGACCATCTTCTTTTTTCTCTTAGGGGTTTTATCGATATTTTTCCTTTCCTTCTTTGGAATAAATAAAGTTCAGTGGCAACTCTGTTTGAATCATTTTTCCGTGACTTCACGAAGGATTGTATTTTTTGGGATGCGACACAGGTGAACGGGTAGGATGATTCATCGAAAAAAGTGTTATTATGCGAGATAAAAAATAATTTGGACGAATCCAATGGGATATGGGATGAACAACTCCATGAAGTTTTGTGGTGGTGTCACACCACCCATTATTCAACCACCAAAGAGACTTCATTTACAATAGTATATGGAGCTGACATCATGCTTCCTGTTGAAATCAATATGCCCACTTGGAGGCATTCTTAATTTAGTTAAGAAGAAAAAGAGGTATGTCTTAGATGTTCAGCTAGCCTGATTGAATAAATTTGTTATGTCACCCACATCAGAGAGTTCATCGCCAAATAGATGGAGGTCAGAAGATATAACTAAAACTCGAGGAGCTGAATGGAAGACTCAACCCAAGAATATGGAACTCAGCTAGTCTGAGATATTATTATAGTTAGTTATTTTCTATTTTCTATTTTGAGTAAGGCGAAAGGGGCTTAGCATGCTGACAGGGCCGACCCAAACTAGTTAGAGGCCATGTTCTATTTTAACAATAGGGCTTATTTCAACAAATGCAACTATAATTTTCATATCTTTTCAGTCGATAAAATTTCTCAATTTTTTTAAATTGTCGCAAACTCATACAACCATGAGTAGACAATGCACTTACAACCTTTAATACTCTCATGTACTAATATATATATATATATATATATATATATATATATATATATATATATATATATATATATATATATATATATATATATATATATAACAAAACATAAAATATTTTTGTTTTAATATACTTTTTGTTCCCGTATGTTAACTTTATATTTCATTTTGGTCTCTTAATTTAAAAAGACTCATAATTTCTTAACTCATGTAAGTTTTTTTTGTCTAATTAATATTAACGAAAAAAAATTAAAAAATGGTTGTTAAATTTATCACTAATTAAACAAAAAAAACTAACATGGTATGTTTTAAATATTTAAAATATCAATATGGACATCTTTAAAATTAAATGATAGAAATGAATCATACAAAAATATGAGAAAAAATTTTTAAACCAATAAAATACTAAATTAATGAATAAGTTATAAAATCTTATAAATACTACAATAACTAAATTATTCAAAAATGGTTTTATTTATTAATTTATTATAACAATTTAAAATAATGATGAAATTGTTAAATTTTAAATATATTATTATAAAATAAAATTAAACAAAATATATCTTCAAATATATAACATATTTCTATAAAAAAAAAAAGAAAAGAAAACAAGTCGACAAACCATAATATATATTATATTTTAACATAAAATATTTATAAAATTTAATAGCCAAAGTATTAATTCACATTTGCATTTAAACTATAGGAAATGTTTATTGATGTTGTGGCTTACATATATATTCTATGATTAGAATTTAGAAGTATGTATATATATTTTTAAGTTTAGAAGTATATGTGTATAAACCTACATAGCAACACTTTTGGTAAATAAAAGAATCTAATTAAAAAACGAAACTAGAAGGATCGAATCCTCCAGTGTTTGTAACACTCCAATCAACCGCTATGCTATGCTACTTAGTTATGATTGTCTCAAGTTTGTAAAACTTATATATATTGTTTAACCTGTAAATAAATATTTGGGGGCCCTCAAACTGTGAGGCCCTATGCTGTGGAGCAGGTTGTCCAGACACTGGGCCAGGCCTGTCTGCTGATGTGCGAATTTTATTATAAATGTTTAAATACATAAAAGAATTTATTATAATATATTTCCTCTCTTAGGTAACGTAAATGTTCAAACTTTTCTAAAAAATTCATGCTAGAGGAAATATAAATGTTATACTCTTATTAGAAGATCCTTGTCGTCTTCGAAAGCAATTTTTTTTTTTAGACTTTAACAAGAAAATCAATGCTTTCCAAAGAGCTATATACATACAAAGCCAATATTCATAAAATATATCATGTGTTGCATCCATTAATAAGAAGCAAAATGAATAGCACAATTTAAAAGTCTTGTCTGAGAGATTTAAATTAAAAGACTCTCTTGAGAGACTCAAAATAAAAATGTCTCTCGAGAAACTCAACTTAAAGTTTCACATGAGGGACTCCACTTAAAAATATCGTCTAAGAAAATCAACTTAAAGTCTCACTCAAGGGACTCAACTTAAACGCCTCGCATGAAGGTTTTTAGTTAAGTCTCGGCTTAGAGACTCAGCATAAAGTTTAGCTTGAGGGACTCCACCTAAAAGTATCACATGTGGGACTCAAGTTATAGTTTTGTAGAGGATCTTAAAAATAAACCACTTCGTCCTTTGCATATACCTCGTGCTTGACGGACATTTTACTGGTATACTCTTAAAAGGAACACAAGAGGTAGTATTGATTTCTCTAAGGGCAGGTGATACAACATGATGCCCGATCAGGATTTCTACTCACCCATTTATTGAAACGTGCACCCATTATCTATATCACTTACATACTTAATAAAATATGGGGAATGTTAAGTCATTATCCCGAAATAGTGTGGGAGAAGAGGGAAGCCACTATGTTCAAAAAAATAGAGGAATAACAACTCCACTTCCTCGGAGAAAGATACAACTATGCTCTTGAGTCCTAAGATCAAAGCCCAATCGACCTGTATAAATACATCAACCATTAAGTTGAGGAAGAACATTCAATTTACTCATCAGTCACTCGTATATAGAGTTTTTTGCTATCCATACGTGAGCTTGGTATAACACCTTTACAATCCTAAAATCCTCAAACATCCCTTTATAACTAAAGTTTGTCACTTAATATACTTTTAGCAAGTATATTTATCTACTACCGAGGTTAATCATATTATAACAACTGAAGTATCTAAAAAACTTTTGTTGAAGAAATTCTTACAAGAGTTGGGTGTTGAACAAGAGGAGTTTGTGTTGTTCTATGATAGTCAGAGTGTAATTTTTTCTGTAAGAACCTAACATTTCATTTCTGTTCAAAACACATTGAGGTGCAATATCATTGGATACCAGAGATGCATTGGAGACGAAGTCGTTTCCACTTTAAAAGATCTATGTTGATAAAAATAGTTCTGATATGATAACAAAGATGATTAACAGTTTAAAAAAAAGGCATACATAATGAAACAACTATTTTCCACTTAAATAATAAGAAAGAGATTTGTAGGGTGGACTCTCTCTTAAAGTGTGATCCACCATTTATTTAAAAAAAATAACGTTTTAGTTTTGGTTGTCAAGTATGTTTGGTCCAAGAAGGATTTTGTAGTCCCTAGTATAAAATCAGCAAAAGAAAGAAAAATAGCAATAGAAAAAAAAAGAAGGAAAAATGGCTAGTACTATGAGAGAAAAGGAGAATAATTGGATTCAGATGCTAGATGAATGTGCAGTAAATTTTATCATTTTGAACTACAAATTATTCTCATCACTTAGCTAATTATATCTATATTATTTTTGACTAATTTTACCTTATCTTAGACTTGTTATAGTATATCTACACTTTATTGAAGTGGTGTTTGAGTGTTTTTTCTCACTGAGAAAACTTACCTATAATTTTTTAAGTGTGATTTATACTATTTTTTAATAAAAACATAACAAGTATACTTAAATATCATTTAATGAAAATAAGTGAAAACTGCATAAGTGTAATGGAAAATTATATATTTGTTATATTTTCTTTTAAAAATAGTAAAAGTTATATATAAGTTTTTTCATATTCTTTATTAGTAGAGATTTTTATTCTTTAATATAACTAGCAAAACTTATGTATCCATTATTTATATAGTTTTACTATTGTAGTTTGTACTATCTCATTTTGAAGTAAGTTTTGCACATTAAAAATTGATGTTCATGCTAATTTTATTTTTCTCTTGTTATTATTGTCAAAATTATCCAACACATAATTGATGCATTTTATGAAGGTGTGAAGCATAATAAGTTTCATCAACGATTTAAATTCACGATTAATTTGTTTGTTTTCATCAACATTACACTATAGGATATGAAGGATCACTCATAGGGAGAGTTCAAGGTTTATATCCAATAGGGCACATGATTCAATATCTTCACCACTTGAAGCATTTGAGACTTCGCCATAATTCTCAACTTGAGTCTTATTCTTGCAAATCTCTTTCAAGCCACAAGATTTTGAACTATTAGACATTAGTGAGTTTTGAAGGGGAAGGATTTTGTGGTTTAAACCATGATTACTTTGATCAACACCCTTGCTATTCAACTTTTTTCTTATATGAGAGTTCCAATAATTCTTCACTTCGTTATCAGTACGTCCAGGCAATCTTCCAGCAATTAGTGACCACCTATACCAAAATCAGCATTCAAGTATCAATATATATAATGAAAAGATATATAATTATAAGTTTCAATCTATATAAAAAATCTTAAACTCTATATAAATGATTTTAAACTCAGACCGGTGATCATTCCAATCAAATTATCACATCAGAGTGTTATTTATCGGATCAGTGGATCACTCGTCGGAGTGTTAAAAGAAATTTTACCTGTTGCCTAAAAGTGCATGAAGTTTGATGATGAGATCCTCTTCATCTTCACCAAAGTTGCCTCTTTTAAGGTCTGGTCTTAGATAGTTCATCCATCTTAGCCTACAACTTTTACCACATCGAAGTAAACCTAAACAACGCATCAAACCAAATTCATGTTTGTTATATGAAATGTATAATGTGTCTGTAACATGTGAGCACAAATATTAAATAATAGGGATGTATATACCTGCGGCTTGAGGGAGTGTACTCCAACAAACCTCGCCGTGTTTGTTAATATAATCTATGAGTTTCTGGTCTTCTTCTTGGGACCAAGTTCCTTTGTTCTTGTTGATGTCACAGCTAGGTTTTCTCATTCTATTATATATGACTTCAATCCTTCAAACAGCAAAAGGTTAATGGACCCTCTAGCTAACTGAAAGTGGAAGATACTATAAGGTAGAGAGAGAGAAGGTAAGAGATGTTTTATAATTATAAGAATGTGAAAGAAGGAAAGTAATATATGCATGCATAGATACTAGGTTGGTTGTTAGGTTAGAATTTAAGGAAGAGAAAAATAATTGACTTGGACTGGTGGTTCATGCGTGGGTGACTAACAACTATACCTTCAATTCAGACATGTTACTGTACAAGTACTATCTATCTATCTATATCCATAAAAAATATATACATATATCTATATTATTATGTTTGTCTTTAACGAATTCCTAGGACAAGTGATTTCATTTAAAACTAAGAAATAAAATATATTTTTTTGTGTGGCGCATCTCTTGGTTCCCTTCCAAAAGACAAGCTCGCGAAGCTTTTGTTTTTGGTAGGCCTTGATCTTGACTCGATTTTAATGATGGGGTTGCAGATGTTTATGTGGCGTTAGAGACGACAACTTCTCCAATTGAAGAACGGACGTCAAACTCTCCTTTTAGACTTATTTTAAAGCACCAGGCTAAGGACCTCACCACTCCTCATATGGATTTAGGTATTACAAGTCCTCTAACTTTTATTGGTTTTTGTCTACAAGATAGTACCCCCCCCCCCCCCCCCCCCCCCCCCCCCCCCGAGTTTTTTTATTTGTTGGATAGTCAGAAAGCGGCTAGGGTTTTTAGAGAAGTCAAAAAACTAGGTTGTACCTTTCTCCTGAGTGATGTGGTTGAGATTAAAAGGTTAATAAGTCTTGAATCTAGAGGTAGACATTTAAGGTCTACTAGAATTTCTAGGAGTTATGTGTAATACCCTAATTTTTAACCTTAAAATTTCACATATCATTTGCATCTCATTCCACAAACAAGATCGCAAGTTTTGGTTCTCTTGCCTTCCTCCGTGTTTTTATTCTTGAGAGATCACCAGACACCCTTGTTTTCTTATTTGTTTATGTTTACTGACCATTATTCAAAAATCCAAAAAATATTTGTCTTTCTTTTACTAACTTTCTCAGGAAGAATTTGGATCAAAGATATCAAATACCATTCTCTCATCTCGAATGAATTTCATCTGAACAAAGCCAAAGTTGATCTGCAAACAATTCAGAATCATCTGATCAAAAGTCTCTCAAAATTTGGTTGACCATTATTCAAGAGACTACAAGGTTCATGTGTTTATTGTCATGCCTTCTTTGACAAGCAAAAATAATTGAGCCAGAGTCAAGACAACACATCAAAAAGCAATTTTCTACATATTACTTCTCTAGCATGCATTAACAATAACATTGATATTGACTGGTCTCAGATAGTCGTGGTTTCTACATAAACTTTATTACGATTGCTTAACATAGCGCTAAGTTGTTTCGTAATCGAAAAATGATCATTCGTGGCTCAAACTTATGTTTGAAAAGTCCAAGTATGGTTGATTATTTGTGTTAGGTCCATTACCTATGAAACTTGTTGTTAGGAGGCTTTGATTTTATCAATCCTCTAATGAGTCTTCATTAAATTTGGCCTAAGTGCACGAGTTAACCATCGTTGATAATTTGTTCTAACAACTAATCACTAATTCACTAACAATATTATTGTACTAATTTTGTTTATGTTTCCTTCTCGCTCTCTATCTCTCTTTTATTTTTATGCTCCATTATTATCATCTCATCTCATATTATTGTTTATACTTCCGCTCTCTTTTTCTTTTGTCCACTTGGACCATATCTTTTTCAAAACACTAATAAATAATTAAACCTCTAAAAAACTTGGTGCTCTTAATTTTGTGGTTATGCTCATGGGTGGTCTTAGACCTCAGATTTCGTGGATTATTCTTAGACCTTGGACTTCTTGGACTATTATTAGATCCTTGAACTTAGAATTAGAATTCTTTCCCTATTCTTGGAGTATTATGAATCTCTGCCTTTATTTGCCTTGCTCATTTGCTTATGCTTTAAGACGGATGGAATTCTTATTTGGCTTGCTATGGAGTGCGCTATAATTTGGTTAGATCCTTCTTATCTCTAACTTTTATTTTTCTTTCTAGGGTAGTCACTTCATCTCCTCCCCTACTTAAAATTTCAAAATCTTCTCCCTTTTTTCAAAAAAACTTCTTGTTTTCAAACTTAAAACTGCTTTCATAATAAAACATTTACTTTTGTCAAGTGATTTTCAAACTTTGTTTTCTTTAATAAATGTCAATCAATGTTAATCATAATTTGACTAATTTCAAAAAGACATAAAAAACACTTCACCTCATTCAAACTTTTTGTGCCTTTGTGCACTTTATCTTTTAAAACTTTTCATAAAGTTTAGACATGAGTCATTTCCATAGTTGAGATATAATTCTCCTATTCCCCCTAGTATTTAAGATGTTGACATTTTCCACTTAGATGTTGAGTGATAGACTTATTGATTTTAATCCAAGCAAGATCCTTCATCTTTAGGTGATGCAAATATTGTCTTATATTTGTAGGCGACTAGTCATAGTTTTCTTCATAAAATGACGACTTGTCTTTACATTTAAAAATAAATCATAACCAACAAATTTTTATTATTTGTACCACGAACTACAGGATTTTGATCCTATATTGCACTTTGTGGGTACGTAGGCATGAGGCAATAAGTCTCTCCAAACACAAAAATATTTAAAAATAATTCTCTTCTCATCTCCTCGATCTCCTTTCAAGCAAATCTTTTCAAACTAAAAAGCGTAGATATTTTAAAGGGCTCCTATAAAGTACTATAGATGTTTTGGGTGCTAACAACTTTCCGTCGCGTAACCAAACCCCTTACCGAGTCTCTGTTCTTTTGTTCTTGTTTTAGAACTCTTTAGATTTTGTTCTCCCTTTTTCCTTTCCTTTTAGATAAAATAAAAGTGCAGCGGCGAATCTTACATTTTTTAGTTAATTTAATCAATAGCTTACATTCACAAATTTTCCTGCTACATTATGTTCAATGTGGATTGAGTTTTTCCATGTCTGGGGTTTGGGAAGTAGGATAAAAAAGAATAAGGTTAGCGATCATATTGTCTCTAAGTCCTTGGACTTCCTTACAATCCAGGAGACTAAGCTCTCTGAGGTCTTCACCTCTTTGGTCCATTCCCTTTAGGGGGATCCTTTCTGTGAGTGGAGTTTTTCCTCGTCTATTGGCAACAATGATGGCCTTATTTCTATTTAGTGTAGTTTAAAAGGGACTTGCGTGTTTTCCTTTGCAGGTTATAGTTACTCTGGGGTTTGCCTAGAGTGGGGGATTTATAAGGCTATGTGTGTGGTGATTAATATCTACTCGATATGCACTCTTAGTAAAAAGATAGCTCTTTGGATATATTTACTCCTTAGACGGACCTTCCTTGGTGGCAGTGTCTAGTGTGTCCTTGGTGACTTTAATTCTATTTGTTCCCCTTCTGAGAGGATTGATTTTAGCTTCGTTGAGCACCGAGTGGAGGGTTCTCTTTGTGTGGATTTTAATAATTTCATTTCCCAGATGGAGCTTTGGACATCCCTCTATTAGGGAGGAGTTTCACTTGGTTGCAACCTTATAGTATGGTTGCCAGTTGTCTTGATAGGATTCTTATTTCGGATGATTGGTGGGATTTGTGGGGGTTTATCTCCCAGTAGGCTTTGCCTAGAGATATGTATGGCCACTTCCCGATCATCCTCAAGTATTCTAATCTATTGTGGGGACCTAAGCCTTTCTAGTTTAACAACCACTAGCTAACACATCCTTATCTCCCTAGTGTATAGTTAGTCCTTTTCTATGTCTTCTAGATGGAAAGCCTTTGTTCTTAAAGAAAAACTTAAGGCTCCCAATGGGGCTCTGAAATTTTGGAATTATCATGTGTTTGGTACGCTTGATTCTAAGATTGAATCCCTAAGGGCGGTGGTTAGTAGTCTTAATTTGAGTCTTGAGCATGGTGTTATTTTTGAAGAAGAGATCATGATTAGGGATCAGGCTTCCTTTGACCTCTGGTCCCTTCTCTGGACCAAGGATTCTCTGTTTTTCCAGATGTCTCGAGCCAAGTGGCTTAAGGATAAAGATGCTAATACTGGGTTTTTCCATGCTTGTGTTAAGAGTTAAAGCATTAAGAATGTTACCCTAGATCTTAAGGTAAAATATGGTTAGGTTGAAGGGGTCTCTAAGATTCGTTAGGTCGTGGTTGATCATTTTTATAATCACTTTAGAGAACCCTTCGTAATCGCCTTCGACTTGATGGGGTATCCTTCCGTAATATCTTTGAAGAGGACAATGCTAATCTTATTGCGGCTTTCCTCTTTTATGAGATAGTCCGTGCAATCGTCCTTTGTGATGGTAACAAGAGTCCTAACCTAGATGATTTTAACATTTCCTTGTTTAAGAGGTTCTTACCTCTTCTTAGAGATGATTTTGAGATGATGTTTGCTCAATGTCATACCCCAAATTTGTCCTACCCTGTATATAATTTGCACCTGTACATCCATCCACCAACCATTACTCAGAAAATCCAAGATAGGCTCTTAATTCCAAACTCGACTTATAGGGTGTTTGAAAAATGGCTCGATGACGAATCGAGAATTAGTTTGAAAATAGTTTGATCTACGCTAGTCCCTATGGGTGCTCCTAGAAGATAAACTATAATCAAAGAAATATGAAACATACATCAGAATGGGAGAGGGGTACATGTAATTTACACGGGATTGCACAAAATAAAGGGATTTCATTGTCAGGTAGCCCAAGAGAAAGCTGTGTGTGTGCATTGTATCCAAAACTACGCCTTGAGCAAAGTCAGGCACAACTCGATGTTAGGGTTTCTGCAAATGACCAATGATCCAACAGTCCACCAATTTGGCTTTTAGGATTTCGATAGTTTATTAGTATTTTCGAATATGGGTGAATTAGAATGATGAATATGAATATGACAATGGCAATATGAATAATATACAATAGTATCCACAATAATATTTGACGGA